TGATGTGATAGATATGATTGCGAACTTCGAGAAGATTCGTATATATTTAGAAATGAAAAATAATCATGATGAAAATAAATAGTTTATTTCATGTTTACACAGAGAAAAAGATATTATCGCAAAAAGTAAATGGAAGGAAAGACATGATGACTATTTCTCTTACTCTTCTTCCTCGTGGTAATTTTGTATTATCATTATTGTCATTACTATTATTATTACATCATTATTTTAATCATCGTCATCATCATTATCACCATTCTGATTATAGTTATTGTTATTATTATTATTATGAACATAATTATCAATATTTTTACTATCATCATTATTATTGTTTTTGTTATTTGTTGTTATTATTGTTTTTTTATTATTATTATTATTATTATCTTGACGATGATAATGATAAGGATTATTATCGTTATTGTTATTACTTGTATTATTATTACCATTATTATTAGTTTTTATATTATCATCATTATCATTATGATAATGATAATAATGGCATCATTATCATTATGCTGTTATTATTATGGTTAGCATTATTGTTGTTACTATTGTTATTATTATTGTTATTATTATCATGATTATTATTATCAAATATTTCTTTTATATTTTATTATTATTATCATCATTATCATAACAGTAATGATAATAATTATTGTTATCATCATTATTGTTATTGTTATCATTAGTAATTGTAACTATTACTTTATTATTGTTACTATTTTCATTATCATTATAATTATCATTCTTATCATTGTTATCATTATCATTATCATTAATATTACCTCCGCCAAGAAGGTAATGTTCTTGATAGCATTGGTTAATTAGTCAGCTGTTATCAGGAGTTTTTTTTAACGATTGCATCAGTTACCCCTTTCGCGTTGGTAATAGGAATAGTTATATTCTGAATGTTCGTATACTTGACATGCATAAATAAAGAAATAAATACACATTTATCAGTCAAGACATGCATATCAACTGAGCAAATAGATAGTCGAATGTATATCTATCAGATATATAGACAGATTTGCCTTTATTTCTGTGTCTGTATTTATGAAAATTCTTTGGGTCGGGCCCTTCATCTTCTTTTCGTCATCTTTATTCCTTCTTTCTTTCCCATCTTTATTCCTTTCTTTCTTTCTTTCCCTCGATCCCAAAAGCAAAATCACTCACTTGATCCTTCATCTTCTTTTCGTCATCTTTATTCCTTCTTTGGGTCGGGCCTGGCATAATTTTAACAAACCGGCCGATTATCAATACCTTTATCACCTTAATCAAGGAAGTTTTGTTTACGGATGACAACCGTGTACTTGAGACAAAGGTGATGTTAATGTAATTCTTTAATTATTATCATTATTATTGTTATTATTTTATTACGATTGGTGTTATTGCTGTTGTTGTTGATGTTTTGTTATCATTATTATTATTACTATTGTTGTCATCATTATTATCATTTTTATTATTATTATAATTATCATCAATATTATTACGACTATTATCATTATTATCATCATCATCATCATTGTTATTATTACTATCATTATCATTATTATTGCTATTATGTTCATTATCATTATTTTTATAACATGATAATAGCAACAGTAATAATAATAGAAATAATGATAATAACAACGAGGATAATTATTATAATAATTATTGTAATTCTTACATTTTCTTTATTTCAGTTATTATTGATATTATCATTATCATTATCATCATCATCATAAGCATCGTCATCATTATCATTATTATTGTCAATATTACTGTTATTATCATAATTATTTTTACTATCATTATCATCATCTTTATTACTCTTATCATTATTATTATTTTTTATTAGCAGTAGTATTATAAGAATGATGATAATGCTACCGATAATTATATAAATGATAATACTTATAATGATAATTAAAAGAGAAAGAAGTAATAATAGTAATAAGAATGATAATGGTAATAAGAATACAAAAATATGTAGCAATAGTAAGAAGGATAATGATAATAATTCAAATAGTTATGATTCTGATATTAATGACAGTAATAGTAATAATGATGATAACAATATCAACTGTAATAATGATTAAGATACCATTGATAATGATGATGCTGATAATGATAATAATAATAATAATAATAATAATAATAATAATAATAATAATAATAATAGTTATAACATTAATAATCATAATAACGATAATAATCATGAAAGTAGTAAGGCTAATGCTAATGATAACAGTGATAAGAATATAATGATAATAATAACAGTAATAGTAACAACTACTACTAATAGTAATAATAATAGTAATGATAATAATACTAATAACAATAATGATAATAATAATAGTAATGAAAATCGTGATAATGATAACAATAACGATAGCAAGGATGATAATGATAATGATTATAATAAAGGTAATGGTAATAATGATAGTAATGATAATAATAGATCTAATAACAATAACAGTAATAATGATAATAATAGAAATGATAATAATAGTAATAATAATAATGATAATAATTACAGCAACAACGCCAATAATAATAATAATGATAATGATAATAATCATAATCATAATCACAGAAATATAGAAATAATGATAATAATAACATCATAACAAGAATAATCAGAAATCGTTATAAAAATAATGTTAATCAAAATGATGCTCACGACAGCAATAAAGAAAACGTTAAGAATATATTAGTTTCTATAATAAAATCCAATTTCTCGTGTATTAGGATACTAATATATATATATATATATATATATATATATATATATATATATATATATATATATATATATATATATATATAGTTCTATATACTTTTATATACTTTTTTTCTTTTAATATATCAATTATTTTGTAATCTCATGGCCATTTCATAGAGGCATCAACTGCATTTTTCGATTTCTTTTCAGAGCGAACCATTTCCGGAAACGAAAGTCTCGTTTCTGGACAACGCTAAGATGCTGAAGATTCTGATTCTGTTCGGTGTCCTTGTCTTCACTTCCACTGCCTCCGTAAGTCTTCTTTTTTTTCTTTTTTAGGGTTTTAGATCACGTCCCGTAAGTCCCTTGGTCTTCAGGTGTGGGGAAGGCTAGATCAGTAGCAACTCGAGGTGTCATGGCGTCTGATTCTATTTTTTTGGAAAAAAAAGCACGTGGGGTTTATTTTGATGACGTCACAAAAGCTTCGGATGCTTTGTGAATATGGTCGATCATTTTGGTCTTTGCGATTTTCAAAAAGTATTGAAAATAATGATTTTAATGCTTATATTTTCATTGAGTGAGTATCAAAACAGACACCTCCTCGAGTTGCTACTGATCTAGTCGTCCACTGTAATCTTGTGACGATCAAAAGTCATGCCGTGAATTGAAGCTTCGAATCTGTCTTCCCCCGTGCGAAGAGAGTGGGATGAAGCGGATGTTCGAAGCGGAATTCGAAAAATGTTTGACAGGAGTTTTGACCGTGACTGAACTTACTAAACTGCCAGACTGCTGCTTATGCTAAGATGTTTGTGTGTGTGTGTGTACATATACACGCATATATAGTGTGTGTATATATATGTATATATGTATGTATATATATATGTATATATATATATATATATATATATATATATATATATATATATATATATATATATATATATATATATATTATAATGTGTGTATGTATGTGTGTGTGTGTGTGTGTGTGTGTCTAGATTATCTTAGGCCATCCTACTTGCAGGAACCTATCGCCGAGGAATACAGGCCCAAGACACAGCCCACTCAGGAGGTCCTCAAATACGTGTTGAAGTACGGCCTCGGAGGACATGAAGGCGTCGGCACAGACAGCATGACGAGGGCAGGGCTGTGTGAGAAGCCTGAGACACCCTCCTGCGAAGACTTTTTCGGCGACGCTGATCCCTCCTGCTTCGAAGACAGGTGAGTAGGGCTTATTACTATACATAGGAACAGGTGTAAAGGGTTTATGATTAGAGATAGAAACAGCTTAAGAAGCGTTATAACTATATGTAAATGAGTGGGAAGGTGTTGCGACCAAGGCTATAATAGTTGAGAAGGCGTTAGATCTTTGAAGATAGATAGATGATAAGGTGTTATAACTTTTAAGATAGACAGGTGAGGAAGCATTACAATTATGCATATGGAGAGGTGAGGTGTTATGAGCCGTGCGCTGAGAAAATCGATGTGTAGATCGTGTTTGATGGATATTATATCTATGCCTTTCTGTCTTGTCTTTAATGTCTTTGTCTGTCTGAGTCTCTCTCTCTGCCTCTGTCTCTCTCTCTCTCTCTCTCTCTCTCTCTCTCTCTCTCTCTCTCTCTCTCTCTCTCTCTCTCTCTCTCTCTCTCTCTCTCTCTTTCTCTCTCCCTCTTTGTCTGTCTGTCTCTTCCTTCCTCCCTCCCCCCCCTTTCTCTCTCTCTCTCTCTCTCTCCTCTCTCTCTCTCTCTCTCTCTCTCTCTCTCTCTCTCTCTCTCTCTCTCTCTCTCTCTCTCTCTCTCTCCCCCTCTCTCTCTTTCTCTCTCACTCTCTGTCTGTCTGCCTCCTTCCTGCCATCTCTCCCTCCCTTCCTTCCTCCCCTCTCTCTCTCTTTCCCTCCCCCTCCCACCCTCCCTCCCACTATCCCATCCTCTTTAACATTTTCACGAACTTCCAGACTGCTTCCCCCCAAATAATCTCACTACCAACACCTTTACAGAACTTCCTGCGAAATGAATGATTTAGGAAAATGCAAACTGTGGTGGCAAGACAGTTGCAAATGCGACTTCATTGAGTGGAATCGCTGCGGGGAGAGTTCGAATACATTCTGCTGCATTGGTAAGTTGTTGGGATAAAGGTTGTATTGAACGAGGGTGGTGATGATGATGAGGGTGGTGGTGATAATGATGAGGGTGGTGGTGATAATGATGAGGGTGGTGGTGATAATGATGAGGGTGGTAATGATGCTGATGAGGTGGTGGTGATAATGATGAGGGTGGTGTATATAAGGATGAGG